ACAAATTTAAATGATAATAAAAAAAACCCCAAAACATCGGAAAATAACAAGAGATTATAAATAAGTATTCAGTGTCTACTTCACAAAAAAAAAACACGTGTATTTGTGCATCTAGTTACCGGCCTTTGGCTATGGACGTTCCTGGTGCAGGTGGGTCCAGAGATGCGACTTGGACGCAAGAGGATTTTACAGCGTTGTTTTCATTTTGTTTACCCTTGTATTTATATTTTACTTAATTTGTACTTCATCGGGAAAGTGAGAATTATCTGATAAGTTAAACCCCTTTCAAATTATTTTTATAGTTTGTTCTTATGTTGTGCTGTAACACCACTGTCTTAGGTTAGGGTTGATCGCTCACAAACATGTTTGACCCCGCCACATTCTTCATGTGCCTTTCCCAAGTCAGGACCCTGTAGTTCAGCGGTTGTCGTTGGTTCATGTCTGTGATATTAGTTTTATGTAAATTGTTTATAAATTAGGCCGTTAGTTTTTTCTATTGAATTATTTCATATTTTTCATGTCCGGTCCTTTAATAGCCGACTATAATATATAGATTGTTTTCATTGTTTAAGGCCGTACGGATGCCTAAAATTAGTGACATTCACTGAATTTGAACTTTGGTAGGATAGTTGTCTTATTGGCAATCATACAACATCTCCATATTTTCCAATAGTAAGAAATTATGTTTTAATAAACTGTATGTACTACCAACTATCATCTGTTGCGTGTTTGGCATTTACTTTCAACTACAATAACTTATTTGTTGGCGCCTTTCTCGGATTTTTTTGTGTGTTTGTTTGAATGTTTAAGTCAGTTCTGTTGTATGTCTGTGATGTGTGTTTACACAGTTTTGGCTGCTGGATACCAATCAATGTCACATTAACCAATTATGTCTGTTTGGGTTGTTCACCGAATTTTATCAATCTAACGGAGCCATGCACAACACTGTCATACAAGTAGGAGGTTTAGCTTGCTATTAAACCAGGTTTTATCCACCCATTTTGTTTTTGAAAATGCCGGTACCAAGTCAGGAATATGATACTTGATTTCTTTGTTCCGTTGGTTGATATAGTCTTACGTTTGATTTTGAGGAACTTCCCCTTTTTTGAATTTACCTTGTAGTTCGGTACTATGTTTATACTTTTTAACTGCAAAATATCCGTGTAAAGGAAAGGCAAAAGACGTAAAAGGGATATTCAAACTCATAAGTCGAAGACCAACTGACAATGCAATGGCAAAAACCAAACAACGACCAAAAGACAAACAGCAGTACATAGAAAAAAAGCAACATAGAAAAACTATAGACTGAACAACAAGAACCTCACTAAAATGTCGGGCGGGGGGATTTCAGGTGCTACGACTGGTAAGCAGATCCTGATCCACATGCTCAACATATTACATTTTAACAATGTAAGTGATGGATTACATTTGTTGAAGAGATTAATGAAAACAAAATTAAATTAACTGCATGCACATGAAAAAAAAAATAACATTCTACAGCAATAGTCAATCTTATACCAGTTTTGGGTTAAAATTATGAAGAATGTTTATGAAATCGCCGAAAATATTGATCAAAACTGAACGCAAATTGGTTAAGGGCTCATATCAACCGGTATTCCCAATTGACTTTTAGAAAATATGTGTACAAGAAATTTCGGACAATTAGTTTTAAAACCATCTGAGCAGACGTATCTGGATTGATATTTGTGGATTTACATGTTTGAAAAGACTGCAGAAAATTGTCTCACGTTTTGAAAATTAGTAATATGTTTTTCTTTTTTCTTTTTATTACTTTCAAATATTTTTTACAAGAGAGGAAAAAACGGCAAATCGCAGGTAAAGTGGTAATTTTCACATTTACTGGTTATGTTATTTAAAGATTACAAATTAAGAAAACAAATTAATAGAATCAAATATACTAGCGTGCATTTATAAAACACCTTAAAATCACTGGAAACGACAGGTAATTGTTTTTCTTATTATGACTGTTTGCGTAAAACAAATAAAACTTTACAGAAGTGAATTGAATATTCGTTACTGATCTGAAATTCTATCAAAATATGTAAATTTGTCGTAAATATTAACTTAATTTAAACGAAAATTGTTCAGCGTTATTTTACTGACAGGGTAGTTACAAAATACATAAAAAATATAAGTTTCGAACAACAATTGATAGAATATTTGAGCAACTACAACTGCAGTTTAAGTGAAGGAAGGGTTTTGTTGGTAATCTTGATGAAAATAAAAATAAAAATAACTGCATGTACATCAAAAACAGAAAACATGCTAGATCAATGTGAAGATTTTAGAACTTATTTGTTTGTTTGAAAGATAAGGAATGTCTCTCAAATGGTCAAAATTATTGATCAAATGTGACCCAAAAGTGATTTAGCGCTTTAACAAAACGGTGTTTCCAATTGATCGTCAGACAAATATGTATTCAAGAAGTTTATGACAATTAATTGAAAAGACATTTGAGCAAAATAATAGCATTGTGAGTTTTGGTTTGAAAACCTAAATGTTTGAAAAGAATGAAAACATTATTTCATTTTTTGAAAACTTGTTTCATATATTGTTCTTTCTCCGGCCTTTTTAACTCATTTAAATTCATTAAAGAAAAAAGGTTACTCACAGTTATTGTGTTAATCTCCAAACGTACCACCTTAAGTTGTTTAAAGATACTAATTTAAGATGTAATTTTGAATATAATAAAATATAAAAGAGTGTTAAAAACCCACACGGTTTTTATTCAATTAAAGCGACATGTAATGGTAGATCATTTTAACCTTGTTTTCGTATAAAAAACCCAAACAAAACGAAGAAAGCAATGTTAAATTTTATTTTAGATGATATTCGAAGAGAAGTCTAGAAAACCGTAAAAGTTCTTGACTAGATTTGAACGAAAAATTGTTCCTCGATTCTGCCAACAGTGTTGGTCCAACTGATAGTAAGAAACTATTTAAACTTGACATAACATACAATTAAATTTTTTTTACCGGAGACGAAAAAATGGCAAATTGAAAATAAGTTTGTTAGTTTCAAATGCAATGGCCATGATAATTAAAGATAACAAATTAAGATAAAATGTTTAGTAGAATCAAACATACTAACCTTCCTTTAGAAAACATTGTATTTTCAATTTAAACGACTAGTCATTGTTTGTCTTTTAATATATGTTCATATTAAAAAAAATAAAGGTTAAAGTAATGATAAGTCTAATATCAGTTGATGGTCTGAAATTCCTTGTTAGTCTAGGTAATTGTAGAAATGACCAGCCAAATCTAAACAAAAATTGTTCTGCGTTATTCACTTGCAAGTGTTGTCAAACGACTGTCAGAAAATACTGAAACCTGAAGTTTGAAACCATTAATAGCAAAATATGTGTAGCTGTAATGTAAGTTATGGAAAATATTTGTTGAAAAATTTAATGAAAATCAAAATAAAGTTAACTGCACTTATCTGAAAACTGTAATTAAAAAGCAGATATAATGACTGGTTTCAAATGTACTGACTATGATATTTAAAAGATACACAGTTAAGATAAAATGTTTGGTAGATTAAAAAATACCAGCATAAATTAACATGCTAGAGCATTAATACATTTTATATCGGCTTTTGGTTCGAAATAAGAGGAAAAAGTTGATAATATTAATCAAATCTGAAAGCAATTTTGTTAAGCGCTTGTACCAACCGATATTTCAAAGTCATCGTCAGAAATATGCATACAAGTAGTTTATTAGAAAATGGACTGGATATTTTTTAAAAATTAAAAATAAACATAAGATGTTTGGTAGAATAAAAATGTTACCATATATTTAAAAATGCAATATTTTCTATGGAAACGACAAGTAATCGTTTGTCTTTTTACGAATGTATGCGAAAAAAAAGGTAAAAGTAATTATACATTCAACATCAAATAATGACCTGAAATTCTTTTTAAGTCTAGCGCTTGTATTAATAGGCGTTTTAAATTGACCGCTAGTATGTATCCTACAAGTTTCAGACGATTAATTGTAAAACCATTTGAGAAAGATAATAGCATTTTGAGTTGTGAAATAAAATGTTTGAAAAGATTGAAGAAAGTTTGATTACATTTTGTAAACTTTTTTCATAGATTGTATTTTCTGTGGCCATTTTCAATCATATCAATTCAACTGAAAAGGAAAAAAAGAAAAGAAAGAAAAACTACAGTCATAATGAGTATCTCCAAACTCACTAGCTGTTTAGAGAAAACCAATTAGGATATAATTTTGAATAGAAAACGACAAGTAATTGGTTATATTTTAGCCTTATTTTCGTAAAAAGAACAAATACAACGGAAAAGCGATGTTTTTTGTTGTTGCCTAAAGTGACATTCTCTAAAGTTGATGAAATTCTCGACCAAATCTGTATAAAAAATGTTGTCATCGCTTTTGTCAACAGTTGTTTTTCCAACTGACCGTGAGAAACTAATGAAATTTGATGTTACATGCAATCGACAGAATAAAAATTGTTTGGGAACATATAGGGTCTTGCGCCAACAAACATGTTTAACTTCGCCACATTCTGTATGTGCATGTCCAAAATCTAGAGCCTGCAGTTCAGTTGTAGTTGGCATTTGCTGTAGATCATATTTGTTTTTCGTTTAATTTTATGTACATAAATCAGGCCATTTAGTTTTCTCTATTAAATTGTTTCACCTTTTTTCAATTCGGGGGCTTTTATAGCTTACTATGCGGTGTAGGTTTTGCTCATTGTTGACGGCCGTACGGTGACCTATGGTTGTTAACTTCTGTGTCATTTTGGTCTCTTTTGAAGAGTTGTCTCATTGGCAATCAGTTCACATCTTCTTATTTTCATACGTAATTGTTTGTCTTTATAAATATCAACAACAAATAAAACGTTACAATAATGATTAATCAAATATTAGTTGTTGGTGTAAAATTCCAAGAATGTCTAGAAAATGATCGAAATTATTGACCAAATCTAAACGAAAATTGTAAATTGTTTTTCATTAACAGGTATTTTCAAAAGGCCGTCAGGATATGTTTCAGACAAGAAACACTTCAATTTGGGCAAATATAGCTGCAATGTAAGTTATAGATTAATTTTAGTTAGCATACCATAAAGCAAAACAAAGCTATAATGGTTTACTTTTATAAATTTTGACTTGGATGGAGAGTTGTCTCATTCGCACTCATACCACATCTTCTTATATCTATTATATACATGTACACGTACCTGAAAACAAATAAAATGATATAGCAATGTCAAGGGGGTAGACCTGGGCTATATAAATAAACTCATCATAGATACCTGGCTTACAATTTTGTGCGCCAGACACGCGTTTCGTCTATAAAAGTATGAGAGACAACCCTTACAAATGTTTTGGAAGTCATTTGTGCATTTTAACCTAGCAGTTATTGAAACAATGCCAAGTATTTATGTTGTTTACATTTTAGGAGCATCTAAGAAAATTGGACAAGTTTAGCTCTACTTATCATTGAATTAGGGAATAATAACATAAACAGTACCAATTTCAATGCACCAAATGCGGATTTCGACAATTATTGTCTCTTCGGTAATGCTCGAGGCCAAACTATTTGAAAATCCAAAACATAACAATTTTTCAAGTTTGAAAACTCAAAAACTGAAAAAAGTAGAAAGATAAACACGAAATTGAACGAGCGATGATCTCTCCTCATTTTTGTCCGCTTAGCAACGCGTTGCGGGGGACATAGAAATACCGGGCGTCGGTCCGTCCATCCGTCCGGTCTTGTTTGAGCCCTTACATGTACAATTCTTGCCAGATTTTTATAAAACTGATATCATAGATTTATGTCAGTAATGTCAAGGACGAGTTCGAAAATCAGTGCTTATCAACAATTTTTAAAAGAGTTATGCCCCTTACAATCATTAGTTATAAGGAAATTGCATCGTTTGCGGTCTCATGTGCACAATTCTTGCCAGATTTTTAAAAAACTTATATGGTAAGTTTATATTAGCAATGTCTCGGACGAGTTCGAAAATCAGTGCCGATCAACTATTTTGAAAAGAGTAATGCTCCTTAGAAACATAAATTATATAGAAAATTGCATCGTTAGCGCTCTCATGTGTATAATTCTTGAGCTTGCCAGATTTGTATGAAATTCATATCAAAGGTATATAACAGCAATGTCTTGTCTCAGACAATTTCGAAAATAAGTGCCGATCAAATATTTTTGATAAGTTTCCCATTGAAATATCAGATATATCGGAAGTTGCTCTCAATAGATATAAGACGATGTGGTATGAGTGCCAATGAGACAACTCTCCATCCAAGTCAAAATATATAAAGAAAACCATTATAGGTCACAGTACGGTCTTCAACACGGAGCCTTGGCTCACACCGAACAGTAAGCTATAAAGGGCCCCAAAAATTACTAGTGTAAAACCATTCAAACGGGAAAACCAACGGTCTAATCTATATAAAAAACGAGAAACGAGAAACACTTATGAACCACATCAACAAACGACAACTACTGAACATCAGATTCCTGACTTAGGACAGGTGCAAACAAATGCAGCGGGTTTAAACGTTTTAATGGTACCAAACCTTCACCCTTTCTCTGAAACAATAGTGTAACATCACAACATAGAAAGACACACTATAAAATATCAACTGAAATAGCTTAACTCAATCAAAGGACATATTAACACCATTGAACATACACTGAACAAATAAATTTGACCTATGACACAATGTAAATACAAAATAAATAATTTAGGGGAAGAATAATTAAAGTAACATGTTATATCGGTAAGAAGTGTTAAAAAATTAAAGAAAAACAATATGCTCGTCTTCTTCTCTTTAGTCAGATATTTTTAAAAATTGTAAAGAACAAAAAAAAATGTTTTTTTTTTTTAGTTATTGCCCATGGACAGAACATATAAAATATGTGCAAGGCGGGGGACATTGAAACTCTGTTCTTTTATGTATTTTAAATTGCAGGCGATAAATATATCTCTACGCTACAATAAAACAATATAATGTACACACAAAACAACCCATGCAGTTATCCCAATCCAGACAGGCTCATTGATATATAATTAAAGTGAAATAAAAGTCGAATAAATTGTTTTAGCAAATATTTATTACGTACAACTTTACAAGCTTCAAACATGTGATGTGAAATTAATCCTCACACATACAATAAAACAAATACAATACAATTTGGCGTTACGGGCAACATGCTTATATTTTATTTGTATTTAAATAATAAATTAATTTAATAACATATCGGAAGATAAAACATAAAATTGACATTATTCAAGCATCTATCGCGTCATTTGCACTAGACGACAGAGTGTAGATGTAGTACCGTAAAAACAAATAACTTCAACCATGATCATCAAATAACATTTAAGGCGAAAGTTACTAGTCACTTTAGCACATAAATTTACTCGAAGAGTAAAGAATGTAACCTCAAATGATGTGAATTTAATAGTAAAGCGAGCCTTTCAGACAGAGAGCATTAACAAGAGCTTGAAACATAAAGAGGAACAATGTCTTATTTCGAAATATTTCTCTCTCTATTGGTGAATGTTACGCGCTTGCCCAGCCCATGTAAAACAATAGGTAAGTCAAGTTTACTAACCCTTCAATTTATTATATATTTTATATATATATATATTTTATTTATTTATGGCATGTTGAGCGCTGGCCCATCCCATGCTTACAATGACTCACTCACTCAACTTGAGATTGGTAAATTCGAGTGAAAAAAAAACATTATTTGCACACTAAACGTGTATCCAAAAAAAACTTTTAAATGGATAAACAAATGATGATTCGTTCAGCCAAAAAGAGGGCTGCCTAGTTATCCGTTTTATTCAGGGCTACCTGAGAAATTCAGTAATAATTTTGTGACAAGTAAAGTATTAGTGAAATCATTCATTACATTGCCCAAACGAAATGAGTTACACTTGCCGCCCTTGTAACGCACATTAGAACGCATTGAATGTCCCTAAAATTATTCGGAGATAGAAATGATGCCAAAATAAGGTAGTGATCGTTCCAAAATGTGGTGTAAGTTTGACTTAAATATGTGAATGCTCATTTCAAAAATGAAATATTAAAAACAAAAACAAAAAGAACAAAATCTCTATCATAAATATATAAATGTCAATTACAAACATAAGCTAAGAAACAATTAAAATAATTCTATTTGAAACTAAAGTAAATGAAATATATTGCACATTTTCAAAAGCGGTTACTTGACGGATGTCAAATTCTGAAGTTCTGGTATAACGTGAAAAAAAGTCAGACTTTAATCGACCAAAAGTTTGAATAGTGTGATAAGGAATAACGTGGGTACTGCATGAGTAGCTGACAACTGCATTTATAGTAATAGTGTTACAATATGGATTTAACTTGCCTAAACATTCGTAAAGGTAAGTGCTTTTGCCAACCAATAATGATCGATATTGTTGCACTGTTCAATCGTCGGAAAATCATGTGTTTATAATTGTTCATTTGGCAAACAGTAAGATCAACAAAAGAAATAAGTGTAAAATGCCTTAACAACCAAAATAAATACAAATAATAATGATGAAAATGAATTAAACCTGGGACTAATATATTAGTCCCAGATAAAACATTATAGTTATTAAATAACATATTCGACCTTACCCTAAAACGATCATACAAATGGAAAGCTATCAAAATGCCATAGTTTATTGATTTCTTAGAAATCAATCAACCATAAATAAGTCATTTATAAACGTACCTATAAATTTTTTCATGAACGTTATTTTCAATGGTATAAATCGGTATCTTGATATTTTTGTGGTCTGATTATGATAAGCATTTTGAAATCTATATAGTGATTTTGGTTACAGTTTCTGCAGTTTTTGATGTTGAAGACACACGGAAACAGAAAACATAAGATAAATTAAAATCTGTGTGTAATAGCTAAACAACTAACCATACGCAAGGTAATTGATCTCTAAACAAGAATAATGTAGCCGCGCGGTTCTTGTATTTCAGATAAAAGTATGTGTTAATCAGAGCTCGCATATAGAACGATACTTGTAATAATAACGTAACGTCCTGCATGATGTCAAACTAAAACTCATCAACTAAAATGTTCAAATTAGCGTTACTCATGCTCAAATTATTAAAGATAAGTCGTCCAGGAATACATGTACAGTTGTCACTACATGCAAAACTATTAAATCGTAAACGTTTCAACTTTATCCATCATTTGTAGGAAGCTATCTACACAAAGTCAGTACACGCATTCCAGCAATGTTCAGTTTTAGCACATTCTTGATACTGAAAAAAAAATAAATAAACGTGATACGCTTTCTATCAAAATTTGAACCGAACAATTAATAATGAATTGATACAAAAATAAAAATTGTTACAAAATAAATAAGTGTATACATTTATCTCTCCAAAATTAAACTACCAAAGCAAATTCCGTTTACGCTTCAGACGAGGAAAGGGTTGACTGAAGTCACGCCTATTATATCATTAAAAGAAGACTATCAAACAAGCATAATCAAACAATTTGCAGGCGGCATAAATTAAGACGTGCAGAAGTGATAAAGGTAAGCAGTGGCAGCTGCAGGATCATAAACACTTACAAAAACTATGGGTAATGAACATTAATACACATGAAATGCTTCTAAAAAATCTCTGTACTGAGGATTTCTGGAAATGACTCTTGACATATCATTTAGATAAAATCTTGAAAGGTTTGGAGAATAAAGAATTGGAAAAAAGTATTGATTAATGAAATGAATTTATCATGTTTAAGTGTTATGCTTAAGGCTGATAGGCGGTACTTAACTTTGGTTTTCAAATACAAACAGCAATATTCTAGAAGATATGATCTGAACATCCATCCTAGTACAAACTAATACTGATAGATATCCTACATCAACACAAACTTGGTACTTAGATATTGACAAAATTAATGCAAAGAGCTACTGTAGAAGGTTTTGTAGAGAGAAAAGAAAAGAATTTTGTGTAAGTATTTCCTTTTTTTTTGTTATATCTGTAAGTCAAATTGTTTAAAGAGTTTGTAAATTTCAAACGATCAAATT